ATAGCATTTGATAAAAACATATATGTGCACAATGTAAAGAAAGATTTTTAAGTTATGTCTAATGAATAATAATATGACTATGAAATGAAAATTGAATGCAAAAATAAAAAAAAGTATGCGATTTATATTTATTTTTATTACAATGTTACATTTATCAATTACATTAAGAAAACGTTACATAGTCAATATATTATAATATAAAAAAGTGCATTCTTTTATATTATATTTAATATTTTATTAGTATAGATTTAATTAATAAAAGAAATAATATATAGATACGCAAAATATATTTTTATAAATAATGTATATAAAAGAATGATATAAAAGATTTCTTTTTGTATCTATCATCAAAGAAATTTTATACATCGTTCTTGTGTGAGATAAATCACATTAATGTTTCAAAGAATATAAAATTAGCACAATTTTCCCTTATTAATATTAATAATAACTTTATAATTAATATTATATACAATATTATATATTATATTATATATTATTATATCTTTATAACAATTGAATGTAATATATATAATGTAATATTGTATAATATTGTATAATATATTTCGTAATATAATGTTATATAATATTATATCTTTGTAATATATATTATATACATTGTTTATGAGCTATATTATCTTTATATGTATTATAATTTTTATTAATTTTGATATAATCTATTTATCCATGAACAAGATGAAATTTTATCAATTAAATTTACATGTGTTGCACGTATTTTTAATGTAAGCTTCTTATATTTTTAATATAAACTTCTTATATTTTTAATATAAGCTTCTTAATGGATCGTAAAAAATGTAAAACATTTTATAAAAGCGGTTTTTTCATATCTTTTTTATATTTTTTTATATCACCTTTAAATAACAGCATTATAGCTTACAAACATGCAGAATAATGAAATTTTCATTCATCTTCCTTTCTTAAACATTATAATAATCACATTATAACTTATAAATATACTAGAAAATTAAATTTTAAATTAAAATTAAATTTTAGTTACTTTTAAATATTATACTCTTCAATATTTTTATCAGTAGATGGTCTTATCAATCTCCATTTATAAATGCTTTTGTACCATTGATGATAATGTTCATATATTCTGTAAATAAATAAGAAGTAAGAAAAAAGCAATTTATATCTTTATAAAGCAATTTATCTTAAAGCAATTTATATTTACTATATAGTATATGCTGTTTTATATTTTTACTAAAATATTTTAGTAAAATATTTTACTAAAATATTTTAGTATGTTTAGTATGTTAATTATATAATTTAAATTAGAATAGTTTCCGTTTAATGAATAACATTGCTGTACCATGACATACAAAGTATCTCAATTATCCTTAGTCTAAAAAGATTATTTTTTAATTTGGATTTGATATAAATTTGTTTTAGTAAAAGTACCAAAAATAAATCATTTGTGTTTATTAATTTATATCTTTATTGTACATCTTTATGATCAATTCTTATATTTATTATTATTAATTAATAATAATGATTTCAAATAATACATAATATAATAATCATATGTTCCTTTTAATCATCTTAAGTTTACTTTTATATAAAAGTAAATTTTAAATCAGTTAAGAGAGAGAAATGTGATTATTATTCATATAGTTTATTTTGAAAGAAATTTTCTTAATCATTTACAATTCGGACGTAATTATTGGTTATAATTGACTTTAATCACTATTTCAATTATTTTTCTTTGAAGAAAAAAATTAATTCCCAAATTTTTCAGATAATTTATTGTTAAAATTAGATTTATTATCTTTAATTCTTCATCTTTTTAACTTCAGTTCTTCGTGAATATACTTTTAATAGTTGAAAATCTCCGAATGAAAAAAGTTAGATTAATTAGTTAATAGAATGTATTCTTACCTATTACTCCAGTCAACTATTTGATGCACTATCATATAAATAAGACAAACAAATAAGCCTATATAAGGACGATGATTTGTATGAGAAAGAAAAACTGGATATTTAGTAGACTCAGGACTTCTAATAATAAAGTATTACTTCTAATAATAATAATAATAAAATATTAGTCCAATTATAGGGATTCAAAATATTATCGGTAAAACGTTTATAAGTATCTGAAACGATTTATTCCCATCTTTGTAATATATTATTATATTGGTATCATATAAACACATTTAATGGAAAAATAATAATTCTTTAAATAAATTATTTTAATATTATTATAATTAAATTCATCAAATGTAGAAATTGTAAAACCTCATAGAAATTGTTTTATCATTTTATTTTATTTGTTTTTTGGTATACTCTTATTTATTTTACACTGTAATTTATTTATTGAATTGTTATGATTACAACTATAAATCATTCCATTTAAGTTTTAAATATTTTTGACTTTATCATCAAACATTTCTTCACACTTCATAATTATTATAGACAGCCCTTCACAATATGCCAAAAGTTTAAAATCTTCATTTAAAAATATCAAAAAATTATAAGCTGGTCATATAAATAACTGACATAAATAATATAATGTTAATTCTGTTACCAGTTCTTTATCATTATTGTGGCATATGTTTATATATAAATTTTGATTTTTACGATTTTAGCGTTTGTCTTAAATTTAATATCTGCTTATTATTTTGTGAAATTATCTTTCTTAAGTTGTAAAATCTATATATATATATTTATCTATATATATATATATATATATATATATATATATATATATATTAAAATAAAATTTTTTTTTCTAAAAACTAGCTCGCTATTTTTTACAATTTTTTAACGGTTATAAGATCTTTTGTGACGTTTAATAATGATTTGGGCCGTACTTCTAATGGATAGCGAGCATTACAACATGGGCAGTGAAGTATGTCTCTTTTATTTGCTATGGTCTTCAGACAATAAACGTGTATGTATATATTTGCACAGTGACATGAGGATATGAGATTTGTTGTATTCACATCTATCATAAACAGATTTAGATACATAATATATTTAAATAATAATGATGAATTTATATAATATATATCCAATCTTTTTAAAAAATAAATTATATAGATACATATTTTTATGTGTGTTTATGTATATGTGTGTGTGTGTGTATGTGTGTAATACATAAAAAAGTTTATAATACAAAATACACAACGCTGATTTAAAAAATTTTTATTTTGCAATTATTTTTGTAAAGAAAATTTATAAACTCCGATTATATTTCATAAAAATAAAACTGCGTACTTTTTTTACAATGCCAACATGATGACGATCTTGGTACGATCCATTCATCTTCCATGGAAAGAAATTCATCCATTTTTAATTGTATTCTTAATTTATTGAGCTATAAACTGTTAAGCTTTTGTTATAATAACGGATTAATACGTCTTACGAATTTAACTCTTCACGTTGTCACTATATGGTTAATCTCTTGATATCTGCTAACTACTGTTCTGATGATTTATTTACATTTATTCTTTTGACAACAACAGTCGCTGAAAATATTTAAGACCTTGAGACTTTAAGATTTGAACGAGAGACAGCGAAAGCAAGTGCGAGAGAGAGAAAGAAAGAGAGAGAGAGAGAGGGAGTGAGTGAGACAGAGTGAGAGAGAGAGAGGGGGTGGGGTGAAAGAAGAAACTATTGTTATTTAGCTATGCACTATAACAATACTCTCGTTCCCTTATATATTTCTAATGGATGGACATTGTATATCTATTTCTACAATTAATGAAGTCTTTATTATTATTATTATATTATCTGTTATTACTTTTAAGAAAATAAAATTTGCTTTTAGTTTTATTTTATACATTTTAGTTTTATTTTACATATAATTGTTCTATCAAATCAATTTGAAAAATATATAATTGAATATGTTATATTTCTATGTGATATAATGATGGAGGATATATTTATATATTTTTATATCCCGAGATCATAGAAATATAATTATATAATTTTTAGGAATATGGTCGAAACAGAATAATACTGTATTACTTATTAATGTATGGAATTATTAATAAGTTGGGATCAGCCAGTGATTGAAATCCTTGCTGATGGCAATAAATACATTCAATTAGCTAAAACGATTGAGGGATCTGTGTCTATTCTCTTGAAAGGACCACCAGAAAGCGGAAAGACAGCACTTGCCGCACAAATTGCGATGAATTAGGACTTTCCATTCATTAAAGTTTATACACCTGACGATATAGATGATTTTGATGAATCTAAAAAATGTAATTATATACAGGAAGTAATAAATAATTCACTTTTTATATTAGTTATAAATATTGCAAATTTATCTTAAAATCAATACTTTTGTTTTATTATATTTGATATAGGATTTAAAATAATTGCTTATCATTTATATATTTATACATTTGTAGGCATTCGATTATACAAATAATTTTCAATTTAGCTGTATTTTAATCGATGATATAGAAAGTTTATTAGATTATATTGTGAAGGGATCAACGTAAACACACGTGTGTGTGTGTGTGTGTGTGTATGGTACATGTAATTATATTTTTATATATTGTTATAGGAATTGTTATAATAAAATAGAAAATAAGACACAAAAATTAGCAAAAATTAATAAAAAATTATTATTTTTTTTTTACTTAATTTTAGACAAAAGATCTAAATATTTTTCGTATGAAGTATTAAAAGTATTGTGCAATATTGCATGTTAAAAGTTACACATGTTAAAAAATTGCACGTGTGTTATAACAATAATAATAATACTTCACGGTTTGTATTTAATATTCTCAGCTAATATTTGCTTAATACCGTTGCACGATAAAAGAAAATATGCTGCGAGAATTATGTTCTACTGTATTGATCCGATCATGCGCGAAAAACGTCCAAGAGACTTTATCGTTTTAAATTGAATTCTTTTCTTTGTTTTCAATGAGATAACCATCATATGAGTAAAATTACCAATATATTTGAGATTGTAAAGCCTTTTGTATAGATTTCGTTATATTTACGCGCGAAAATCGTGTCGCGTATTTGAATAAACATGTAGGAGATAGATAGAAGTATATATTTTTCGAAGGATACGCATCTCTCGCGAGCGCTCGATCGTCAACAACAATTATCCGTTGACAATCTGACAAGAAGATAAATGGCAAGAGCGGGACATAAAACGCAGAGAGAATTTTAGCGTCGCATTTCATTCCGTGAATTGCGCGGGTTGTGCATCAAATTCTCGTGAATTTTCGATAAATCTCGCAACAATAGATTTTCCAGTAATCGATGATGCAATTGACAAAAGTGCGATGATTCTTATAAAGTATATAAAGTGTATTCCGCGTATTATAAAGTATATTCTGCGCGAAGGATATTTTTGTAAAAGATATTTTTGTAAAAGATCTTGTGACTTCATATTTTCCGCTGAATGTGATAAAAAGGTAAAATTTACACACATATTAGCGCTTACTTTTTTATTTTTTTTTTGTCAACTATACATACATTTTACATTTCATTTCATACTAACATTAAATGTTACATACATACAGTTTGTACACTCACTTTATATTTCATTTTAATACTAATAATAAAATTTCAAAATAAAGATTTAACAAGTTGTAAATTTAATTATTACATGTGATCGTAGGAGTCTATTCAATACAGCTTGCGAATTATTTTGTGAGCGCGTCTATGAATATCATCAACTAAACTACCCTCATGTCCAGAAAAATGCATGTGCGATGGAACGATTTGGATAATGGACAAATGACAAATAAGACAAACAGTAAGATAATATATCTTTATTTTATATCATTTTTAGATAAAATTTATTTGATATGAAATCAAAGAATGGAAAGTTACTTTTTAAAAATAACTAGTTAACTAACCATTATCCGTTATCGAGTTAAGCTAGTTATTATTATTAGTTATTGGTTTTTAAAAGTAATTATCCGTTATCGAGTAAAAGCTAGTTATTATTATTAGTTATTGGTTTTTAAAAGTAATTAGTTACCATTATTACTATTTAAAGTAACGATTCTTTCTCCCTTTTTTCATTTTAATACTGAAACGAGATAAGAGTAAAAAAATTTTTTTAAATAAAAAACTTACTTTTTGTAATTTTTTATTAAAATATTAATAAGAGCAATAAATTTTTTATTTTAAATTTGCAAAACTATAAAAAATTTAGAAGGAAAGTTTAAAAACGTAAAAGCAAATAAATTTTGATTTTTATTAAATTTATAAATACAGTCACACACACACAAATTTATATTCCTTTTGTACTTTTAATTTTATATTTACAAATTTTAATATTATAATTTTACACTTATTTGTTCTTAAAATGCATGAAACTACAAGGACCATTATATTTAGATTAATACATAGAATTATCTAAATCACAAAATATATATTAAAAGAAGATTAAAAGAAGTTAAAAAGAAATCGATTTTGTGTTTCAAAGATGTAAATAAAAAGAAGTGTAATGTTTTTTGTAAATTTTGATATCCTGAATATGATAAAAAAATTAAAAAATTCATGGGACTTAAAAAACACTTTGACAATTGAGTAAATACATGATGTATTTATAGAAATTCAGGTGATGTATGAAGCTACCACAAAACATATCCACGTGAGTTTTTTGAAAAAGCGGGAAAGGAGATAGGTTTTATAACAACAAAAAGAATTTTTTCGGAATTCTGTCAAAAGCATACAAAGTGTTTCATCACTCTTTCTCCATCTTTTTCTAATATGGAAAAATATGGACATGTGGAAATATGTGTTTCTAATTATAACATAGATTAGTAGAAAAATAAATCGATTTCGAACACACAGCTTAATAAGTTAATTGTTTTTTTAATTAATCAGATTGTAAAAAACAAATAGAAAAAGGTTAAAAATCAAAAATTAAAATATCTCTAAAATTAGTAAAATATAAATAAAATAAAAACGCGCGCGCGCGCGTGTGTGTGTGTGTAATCGTGAATGTGTACGATTTAAATCGATAATCTGGAATAAATGTATATAGACAAGCCTTCAGACGCGGACGATGATGTGGCAAATCCCAATGTGACGAGTAATAACAAATCGGCAAACAGTGATTTATACCAAGCCTTGTTTCCGATTTATTATATCAGCAAACTGTTCGGTGTATTTCCAATGAGATTTGTCCGACAGGTGTCTGGCAGGTATCAAGGCCGATTGAGCATCATCGATAGCAGTTACAGGTGACAATGAACCATCAAATCGATTCATATCTTCCCGATGTAGATGAAAATCATATTTAATGAAACGTTTTAATATATATATATATATATATATATATATATATATATATATATATGTATGTATGTATGTATGTATATTTGTGTGTGTGTATAGCCATTTTTTTGGAAAAATTGTCACCTTGTTTATTTTGTAACTAATTTTTGTAAAATATACGAAAAGGAGCTATTTTTTCCAGAAGAATATTAATGCGACAAATTCAATGATGTTGCCTTTCATCTGCATCATCGTTGTTGCTTTTCAAAAAGCTTAAATGACAATAAGGGTTTAGTGGGTCATCATTTTAAAATTTCTTGTATAGAGATAATAATTGTATAGAGAAATAGGTATAAAGCTATTCCTTCCAACGGATTCCTTCCAAAATGTTCGTTTAGTTTGAAACTCGGCTTTATTATTATTTAAAAAACAATAACAAACATTTTTAACATTTGTTATAATAAAATCGCAAAGTAAATAAATTGTATTCTAAATTTTATTTGAAATTATTTTGTACCCAAAACTTCTAAATATTATTCCTTGCAAAATATCTATTAAAATAAAAAAACTGTTATAGGAAAAACTTTTAAAATGATATGCCATTTAATCTTTATTGTCACAGATTTTTTAAGAAAGCTACAGGAATAAAGGTACAGAGATTCCCTGACAGAGATAAAGGGGCATCTTGTTGAATTTATTACATTTAAATGTATATCCTCCTTGGAAACAAAAACAATCTTTTTTGGCATTTTTTGCTTCATCACAAAATAAATGGAAGCTTTTAAATAAATACCATGTATATGTTTATAGAGGAACATTGAAGACGTACTTTGTATTTCAAATAGACAGTAAACAAATAGTTTCCTACTTAAATGTTTAAGAGAGAAAAAGTGACTATTATATTAGACTATTAAAAATCAGAGCGAATCAAAAAGTAAGGTTCCTGTTTTATTACCATTATTATTTATCACTTATGCACAAATTAAATTTATTGTATTAAAATAGAAAATGATTATTTTTCAATATAATTTTTGAAAAAATTGATGAACTTATTTAACCTTAATTGGCACAAATTTGAAACTTTTCTCTCGGTAAAAATGCGTTAATGTTTTAACCATTCTTGAATGGTATTTTATATTGCTGCATTGTCTTTCCCCAAGATGTTTCTTTAAACATCTAAACAAATAAAAATTGAAACTAATCAAATTCAAGTTTGAGGGAGAATATTCCAGTAAAATATTCGAATAAAGTGATTACAAGAATTTGATGTAGAGTATGATCTGATATTATCGTGAAAAAAATTCACGAGAAAGAGGTTTTTCTAAAAAAAAGTTCAGACCTCTTTCTTCGGAAAAGTCTCTTTGATGATACAGCAGTGCAAAATTTTGTTCAAGAATGATCAAAAGACAGATTTTTATCAAGAAAAAAATCTTTAAACTCATGTCAAGATGAAACAAGTGCATCTTCTTGAAAACTATATTCAAACGTAACTATTAGCTTTTATTTTAACAGAATAAGACCAATTTGTACATAAATAAAAATGTATTATAAATAATAAAACCAGGGGACCTTATTTTTTTATTCATCCGAATATAAAACAATATATAAAAGATTGGAGGTTATTCAATTGCTAAATTAACTTTAATATATAAGTAATATCTGTATAATATGTTACATCAAAATATAATTAAAATAATATATATTAAAATAATATATCGCAGTCTATGCTTAATGGCGAGCCTGATAAGCGCCCAAATTTGGGGTTTCTGGCGCGATCTCAGACGTGGATGGGAGAATAGCACCAGACTTAAATCGCGGACCGCGATCATTTTCACCGTAAGCGATGGGTTAGGATTAATGAGTCTCACGGCTGTCTCCATCATCGGTTCAATTATGCACTGGCAACAGGTGCAAACTATCATCGATAAATTGATCGACGTAAGTCTCATTTAATTATTTTTATCACAGAGATTATCACATTCGAATTCATCGATTCATTCGCCTTAAGTGCGATGAGAAGCTGGGAATCCTCTCCCCGAAGAAGCTGCGACGGCACACCATCCTGTTAACATTTTGCAGCCTCTCCTGTTGCATCATTGTCTTATGTCTCGATTTCTACATGTGGAATTACAAGGTGAAGCTAAATAAGAAACTGGATAACAAAGGGCCGTTCAATTATCTCCCTCTGTTGTTTATGTACGTAATTTTTATTATGATGGAAGATCAATATGCCATCATCGTGTACAATGTGGGCCAACGGTTCTTTAGAATCAACAAGACTCTTGAAAATATCCTTAAAAGCAGTAAAATCACAAATCAATTCAGAAAGGATCTTGGATTAGGTAGATTATTCTAAACGTCACTAATCATTTTTAAATTTTTAAAATGCTTTTAAAGCGACATACAAATTTCTTAGCTGGCGACTTTCGAGATCAAGGACAATTCATTACATACAGTCGGCAAGAAATGATAGGAAATACTCGAATGTTTCGTAAATCGAAGCTCATGGATTCCATTGTTGCAAATGGTACGATTTTAAATTTCACTCTTTAAAAAATCTGATAAAAGCATTAATTACGTTTGTAATAAATAATACAATATGAATAATAGCAAGAAAGAATAAATGTTAAACATATTAGAAAATAACAAATATATATACTTAAAACTGTAGCAAAATCTTTTTTTAGATGGCAAAAGTTTTACAGATAGAATATCTCAACTGGTGACAGTACACGCGACGCTGTGTGACACAGTGTCACTTATAAATACTGCTTATGGCGTCATTGTACTCGTAATTACAATTACCTGTCTAATACATCTGGTCCTTTCACCGTACACTTTGATAATGGAAGATGACGTAAGACGTGAATCGATATTCGTTATAGTAAACGGATTGTGGTGTATCTTCCACATTTGGAGATTACTCGGGATAGTAGAGCCCACATATGCTACTACAATGCAGGTATTTGTAATAATTTAATTTAAATAATTAATAAATTAACATTTATATATATATATATATATATATATATATGTATACATACATATATATATATATATATATATATGTATACATACATATATATATATATATATATATATATATGTTAATATTTATTAACTTAAACTATTTAAATTACAATATTATAAATGTATAATAATTTGCTATAAGGTGCTAAAAGGATTATTGTTGATAATAGGAAACTCTTCAATAATCTTGGTCTTACTATATATAAGTATCAAGATCTAGAGCTAAGTTTTTTTTATCAACATATTGATAAAAAACTATAATAAATCCAGTAATGAAAGTTTCATTATCGTTACAACTCGCTAGTAAAAAGAAAAAACGATAGAATCAATGACGCTGAAAGTAGTGAGTGAATGAAATTATCACATATATTGCATAACAATTGGAGAATGTAAATTTACATGATAAAAAATGCAAATTATATGCAAAAAGATCTATCGACAGACGTTTCGACCTCATTTCAGGTCCTTTTTAAAGTCAAACAATCAAACATATGTATTATGTCTAGAATTATTTAAAAATTTAATTAACTAAACAACAAAAAGTCAATGCAATAAATTTTAGACTTGAAAAGAACTGGTAGAGCATTTTGCAACTTGAGAAAAAATAGTGGAAGCATGTGACTGCGTGATTTATAATCTCTTTCCAGAAGTTTTAGGAAAGGATATAAGCAAGGTGAGCTTTTCAGTTTTGCATCGAGCTGCGCTCGTGTTTTTATTTTATTATCTCTTCTAATGTTAATTTGTTTGCATTTTTTAACTTGTATTAAATACACCACACCAATTTATACTTTTGCGCTCAATACAACTGATGTGACTTTATCCTTACGAAAAAAACACTCAAAATATCAATCAAAACACTCAAAATATCAATCAAAAAGACTCAAAATATCAATCAAAAAGATACTCAAAATAATATTCAATTTGAATATTATTTTGTACGCTTAACTTGATAGTGACACTCAAATTTTAGTGTTACTCTCAGCGTTACTCTCAAAATAACAGCTATCTTCAATGCTATTCTCAACTTAAAAATTAATTTGAATATTACTCTTAAATTGCGTGTTAAACTCAAATTAATTCTCAAGTTGAGAATAACATTCAAAACAAAGATGATGCTTTAAAAATTAGGATAGCAATATTGAGATGAGAATATATTGTTATAAAAACTATCTCTCTCTCTCTCACTTTTAAAATAAAAATATAAATTTTTTGATAACTTAAAATAAAAATATACTATCTTGATAAGTAAAAATAAAAATATAATTAATTAAAAATATAATTATTAATAAAAATATAATTATTTTTATAAATTTTATAACTTAAAATAAAAATGTTTTTATGAAGGTATCTTATTCAGTTGTTGAGCAGCATTTTTACATTTATTTTCTACTAGCATTACTTGCTTGAAAAAAATATTTATAATATATATATATATATATATATATATATATATATATATATATATATACAAAGTGTCTCATTTAAATTTTCCCAGGCAAATATTTCGGAAAATAATGAAAAATCGAAAAAATGTTTCAGACAAAAGTTGTATGATTTCTAGAGGGACATAAGATGGTGCAATTGGTTTGATCTTAAAGAGTCAATTGAAGGTCACGTGAAAGTCACTTTAATCTTTTTAGCTGTAATAATCGTTTTATATTAATTTTGTTGCATTTATATAACATTAATAAAAGTAAGCGCAAATCTTGTTCAGTTTCTGCTGTTAATTTGCCATCAAGTTGCATGCACAGATTCTGCTCGGTTTCTACCGCCGTTTGTTGACAGACAAAAGCTTAATGCAGACACAGATGGTTACGGTTCTAGTGTGGGATTCTAATCGAATTTGCTGCCAATCTGCTATCAACTTACTAACATTTTGCTTACTGAGAATACTCAATCTTCGGTGTATACACTCAATATTTGAGTATTTTTTCCGTAAAAGATACCAACTCCTTTCAAATCTAAAGTTTATTACTTTGACTTTTTGTTTTTTAGTTGATTAAATTTTTAAATAATTCTAGACATAATACATATGTTGATTGTTTGATATTGAAAAGAACCTTGAATAAGGTCGAAACGTTTGTCGACAGATCCTTTTGCATATAATTTGCGCTTTTTACCATATAAATTTTACATTCTCCAATTATTATGCAATATAATTGATAATTTCTCCGACACACTATTTTCAGCGTCATTGGTTCTATTGCCTTTACTTTTTACTAGCAATATTGATAAAAATAAAAACAGATACAAAAAACTCAGAAAGATTAAAACCATAAATCGTTTCCTATTTCTTGAAAGTAATAATGAGAATGCTTTTTTGTGGATCTGCGGATTAATAATTACTTTGTATTGCGATTCCGTCAATTGTACGATTATCTTTAGGGAAAAAAAACAGCGGTTTTGGTAAGCCAATTACAATCCATGGATCACGATAGAGAAGATACTAAACAACTAGAAATTTTTTCACTTCAGCTTCTGCACTGTCCTTTGGAGTTTTCAGCGTGCGGTCTCTTCACTTTGGATCGTTCTCTCGTAACTTCAGTAAATAACTTTTATCTTTCCTTTTTGTTGCCAATTTTGGAGGTGAAAGAAATCACAAAATAATACATTTCTAGATTGCTGGTGCAGTCACAACATATCTTGTAATACTCATACAATTCCAAAAAGAGAACGAAACAAAGGGCAATTTCGATAATATATTGAAGAATGCCACTCAAATTCTGAAAAACGCGACGACACTTCATAATATCACAGCGGGCAGATTGGATCCATAAATTAAGACAAACTATAGCCGATATTCATAGTCCGATCTTATATTTGAGATCGTCTTAAGTTCGAGCTTGAAATGTTACGCAGCTATTTGATTGGTTGAATGAGGTCTTAAGTCAACCTCGGACCAGACTTAAGACGATTTTAAATATAAGATCGGACTATGAATAAAGGCCTATGCTTCTCTTCATTCCTTTTATGTTCTCGAATCTGTAATAATAAAGCTTTTTAAAATTTAATAGATGTCGCTCACGCATTTATTTCCAAAATATCCATGATTGAAAGAATCATCATTTAATAGGAAGATTCATAGTATTATATTGGTTTAAGATATTATAATTTCCATTCCAATATATTTTAATTAGTTTAAACTTTGCCAAAAATTTTTGTCACAAAATTTATAATAACAATATAATTATTAACTTTTTTAGCATTGAACTATGAATTTCTTAGTTAGACCTAACCTAACCTTAGACACAAATTATGCGAATAAATGTATATAATTTTGTTGCAAGAAAAATAAAATATATAAGATTATATTACATAATATTTTATAAATTTTAATTTTAATAAAATAAAAATCTCTCGATTTATAAATATTAATTACTAGATTTAATGTATTGATTTATTAAAAACTGCAAATAATCGTAAATAAATTTTTAATCGTGTCCTGATGCTTACTGTTTCTTAATTTTATTTGTTGATTTATTATACATTTTCTCTCATTAAAAAAATAATAATTTTAATTCTATAAATAAAAATAAATAGCGAAAAACTAATACATTTATTTATTTTTACATACGCATAGCATTTGATAAAAACATATATGTGCACAATGTAAAGAAAGATTTTTAAGTTATGTCTAATGAATAATAATATGACTATGAAATGAAAATTGAATGCAAAAATAAAAAAAAGTATGCGATTTATATTTATTTTTATTACAATGTTACATTTATCGAATTACATTAAGAAAACGTTACATAGTCAATATATTATAATATAAAAAAATGCATTCTTTTATATTATATTTAATATTTTATTAGTATAGATTTAATTAATAAAAGAAATAATATATAGATACGCAAAATATATTTTTATAAAAAATGTATATAAAAGAACAATATAAAAGATTTCTTTTTGTATCTATCATCAAAGAAATTTTATACATCGTTCTTGTGTGAGATAAATCACATTAATGTTTCAAAGAATATAAAATTAGCACAATTTTCCCTTATTAATATTAATAACTTTATAATTAATATTATATACAATATTATATATATTATGTTATATATTATTATATCTTTGTAACAATTGAATGTAATATATATAATGTAATATTGTATAATATTGTATAATATATTTTGTAATATAATGTTATATAATATTATATCTTTGTAATATATATTATATACATTGTTTATGAGCTATATTATCTTTATATGTATTATAACTTTTATTAATTTTGATATAATCTATATATCCATGAACAAGATAAAATTTTATCAATTAAATTTACATGTGTTTCACGTATTTTTAATATAAGCTTCTTATATTTCTAACATAAACTTCTTAAATTTTATAATATAAGAAGTTATATTATTATAACTTCTTATATTTTTAATATAAGCTTCTTAATATATCGTAAAAAATGTAAAACATTTTATAGAAGCGATTTTATATATCTTTTTTATATTTTTTTATATCACCTTTAAATAATAGCATTATAGCTCACAAACATGCAGAATAATAAAATTTTCATTCGTTTTCCTTTCTTAAACATTATAATGATCGCATTATAACTTATAAATATACTAGAAAATTAAATTTTAAATTAAAATTAAATTTTAGTTACTTTTAAATATTATACTCTTCAATATTTTTATCAGTAGATGGTCTTATCAATCTCCATTTATAAGTGCTTTTGTATCATTGATGGTAATGTTCATATATTCTGTCAATAAATAAGAAGTAAAAAAAAAGCAATTTATATCTTTATAAAGCAATTTATCTTAAAGCAATTTATATTTACTATATAGTATATGCTGTTTTATATTTTTACTAAGATATTTTAGTATGTTTACATTTATATAATTTAAATTAGAATAGTTTCCGTTTAATGAATAACATTGCTGTACCATGACATACAAAGTATCTCAATCATCCTTAGTCTAAAAAGATTATTTTTTAATTTGGATTTGATATAAATTTGTTTTAGTAAAAGTATCAAAAATAAATCATTTGTGTTTATTAATTTATATCTTTATTGTACATCTTTATGATCAATTCTTATATTTATTATTATTAATTAATAATAATGATTTCAAATAATACATAATATAATAATCATATGTTCCTTTTAATCATTTTAAGTTTATTTTATGTAAAAGTAAATTTTAAATCAGTTAAGAGAGAGAAATGTGATTATTATTCATATAGTTTATTTTGAAAGGAATTTTCTTAATCATTTACAATTCGGACGTAATTATTGGTTATAATTGACTTTAATCACTATTTCAATTATTTTTCTTTGAAGAAAAAAATTAATTCCCAAATTTTTCAGATAATTTATTGTTAAAATTAGATTTATTATCTTTAATTCTTCATCTTTTTAACTTCAGTTCTTCGTGAATATACTTTTAATAGTTGAAAATCTCCGAATGAAAAAAGTTAGATTAATTAGTTAATAGAATGTATTCTTACCTATTACTCCAGTCAACTATTTGATGCACTATCATATAAATAAGACAAACAAATAAGCCTATATAAGGACGATGATTTGTATGAGAAAGAAAAACTGGATATTTAGTAGACTCAGGACTTCTAATAATAAAGTATTACTTCTAATAATAATAATAATAATAAAATATTAGTCCAATTATAGGGATTCAAAATATTATCGGTAAAACGTTTACAAGTATCTGAAACGATTTATTCCCATCTTTGTAATATATTATTATATTGGTATCATATAAACACATTTAATGGAAAAATAATAATTCTTTAAATAAATTATTTTAATATTATTATAATTAAAATCATCAAACGTAGAAATTGTAAAACCTCACAGAAATTGTTTTATTATTTTATTTGTTTTTTGAAATACTCTTACTTATTTTACTGTAATTTATTTATTGAATTGTTATGATTACAACTATAAATCATTCCGTTTAAGTTTTAAATATTTTTGACTTTATCATCAAACATTTCTTCACACTTCATAATTATTATAGACAGCCCTTCAAAATATGCCAAAAGTTTAAAATCTTCATTTAAAAATATCAAAAAATTATAAACTGATAATATAAATAACTGACATATAAATAATATAATGTAAGTTCTGTTAGCAAGCTTTATTATTATTGTGGCATATGTTTATATATAAATTTTGACTTTAACGATTTTAGCGTTTGCCTTAAATTTAATATCTGCTTATTATTTCTTATTATTTCTTATTATTCTTTTCTTATCTTTTATCTAATAATAAAGCTTGCTAACAGAACTTACATTATATTATTTATATGTACGATCAGTTTATAATTTTTTTATACTTTTAAATAAAGATTTTAAACTTTTGGCATATTTTGAAGAATAGACTGTCTATAATAATTAAAATGTGAAGAAATTAGAATATATATATATATATATATATATATATATATATATTAAAATAAAATTTTTTTTTCTAAAAGTTACCTCGCTGTTTTCTACCATTTTTTTAACGGTTATAAGATCTTTTGTGACGTTACCTTTAATAATAATTTGGACTATATTTCTAATGGATAGCGACTACTATAACATGGGCAATAAAGTATGTCGCTTTTATTTGTTATCTCCTCCAGACAATAAACGTGTATGTATACATTTGCACAGTTACATGGGGATATGTGATTTGTTTTATTCATTTATCATAAACGGATTTATATACATAATATATTTAAATAATAATGATTTTTTAAATAATAATGATAAATTTATATAATATATATCCAATCTTTTTAAAATATAAATTATATAGATACGTATTTTTATGTGTGTTTATGTGTGTGTGTGTGTGTGTGTGCGTGTGCGTGTGCGTGCGTGCGTGCGTGCGTGTGCGTGTGTGTGTGTGTGTGTGTGTGTGTGTGTGTGTGTGTGTGTGTGTGTGTGTGCGTGTGTGTGTGTGTGTGCGTGTGCGTGTGTGTGTAACGCAAAGAAAAGTTTATAATACAAAATACATAATGCTGATTCAAAAAATTTTCATTTCGCAATTATCTTTGTAAAAAAAATTTATTAAACTCCGATTATTTCATAAAAATAAAACTGCGTACTTTTTTTACACTGCCAACATAATGACGATCTTGGTGCGGTCCATTCATCTTCCATGGAAAGAAATCCATCCATTTTTAATTGTATTCTTAATTTATTGAGCAATAAATTGTTAAGCTTTTGTTATAATAACGGATTAATACGTCTTACGAATTTAACTCTCCACGTTATCACTGTATGGTTAATTTCTTGATACTGCTAACTTTAATACTGTTCTGACGATTTATTTACATTTATTCTTTTGACAACAACAGTCGCTGAAAATATTATTAAAAAAAACAAAGACTGAGTTAAGCTAAAATTAAAGTTAAAGCGACGTTGGTAGAAGCAGTCATTAGTCATATATCGACAAAAAGTTAAGTCGACTCTCGAAATCTTATAGTAAAAGGATTTCAATGATGTGCTTTGTAATGTTCTAGTTGAAATAAAAAGAGTTTTTTTGTGTAATTATATGTCAATGTATATTTTCCTTTTGTATAGCACAGAAGATAACAATTACTATTGTATTACATTACATTTGTTGTCGTTCTGAACATAGAGAATGATAATAACGATGATTATAACAGTGATAATGATGATGATAATGACGAATAATAATTATAGAAAAAACGAAGTACTAGATAGATTTTAATACAAATATGTCTCTTAAGCATCCAGTTGCACTATTCGAATCTATTTTTTTTTCTTTCTAATAATTCGGCAAATAAAATTTTCTCCATCAAAATCAATAAAAAGATGTTAAACTGTTTTCTTGATATAATTCATTTACACGATTTGTGTTGTGTGATTATGACGTGTAAGTATAGTTGAAATTCTTAACAGAAAATTTCGTTATATATAATTAATAGTCATTTAATATTAAATTTGAAAATATATTATACATGATCTAAATTATTCTAAAAAATTC